CCCCAAAACCCCAAAACCCCAAAACCCCTTTTGACAATATAAATATTAGAAACTTAACGAGAATTTATAATAATTTAAAAGACAATGAAAAATTGCCGAATAAGTATACTAGTTATACTGCTGGCTGCAGGTAAGGGGACCAAGAGTTTGTGAGCCTTTTGACAAAATAGCATTGCCGAAAGGGTTTTAGTGGTTGGGATCATTGTATTAGTCATATACCAGTCATATAGCATTTCTGAAAATCAAAAATTGTCAAAAATCTGCATTTTTACTAATCTTTCTGGACGCTAGCACTACAAAATTATTCAGTTGCTAAAAATTAGATTTATACCCCCATAATGTTCTGAAATTATATATCTTTCAGAAAATTGAGAGATAAAATTTGCAAAAGATTTTAAAATCCACTTTTACCTAAAAATCTTTTTGAGCAACCCCAGTTTCTTAAAATAGTTGGTCACCATCCCTTTTGTTGATGTTCTTCTTCAATCTTGAAAGAGTAGAGCAGGATCAGGGGCATCTAGAATATTCTTTTTGAGCTCTAAGATTGGCATAAACTCTTATTTCGAGACAAATTTACTCTTGAATAGATCTAGCTTCATTAGGATTTCCAAATCTTGAGAAATCCAATGGTTAATATTTACAATAAATTTCTACGATTGAGTGAACTTCCAACACAAGCTTAAGAAAGCTCCACAATGAAGAAAGCCAACTCTTTGTTAAGATTGAAGTTTAGCCATCTTAAAGTAAAGTGTTGGAACAAGCTCCATCATTGAGAAAAGGTAGAAATAAATCGAAACGCACTCATGTGTTTCATTCATCAGCCTTTATTTTTGTGGGAAATTTTTGTATCTGTTTCAAGATAGCCTTTTGCTAGTAACACAAAGAAAGTTTAGCCTTATAAAGCATAAGGAGTGCTACTTAGTCTGAATGTATCTGCAAGGAGTGTTTTATCACTCTATGCATCGTTCATGCCACTTTATTCGTGTTACGATCCAACTAAAAATTACGGATTCAAAGTGTAGCTAGGATAGGTATTATTCCAAGATCTAAAAGTTCATCCCTTACTCCTCCCTAAACCTATTCATATTTAATCATTGGCAAGGGAAATTATCCATCTCCAATTAGCTGAGGAGAAACGGAGGAGTTTTAATCCTGGCCTTTGAACAATTTTTTAGTAATTTTCTAAATCAAAATAAAGGTAACCTTACCTGCTGTTTTGAGTAAGTATCATAAACAGCAATAATAATTGTATGTAAGAAATGAAGGCTGGATATCGCTCCTACAAAACTCATGATCCCTATTTTGAGCATTATGGAGTACAGATTAGGAAACTCCAGTTTCTAGAACTTCAGTCTTTTCTAAAACCGTATCTTAAGAATTGAAACGCATTAATTTTTACTGCTAAAATTTTACCAAGAATCATTTTAATACCTTCTAGGCTTGATGCTTGCAAGTGGGCAGAAACTAACTGGTGTGAGGAATCTTCAGTCTACCAATACAGCAGATGAGATATACTCATCTCTTAAAGGAGGTAGGGCTTTCCAGATCCATGGTGAAGATTTTGCTTCAGGACAAGGAGCTGCTGACCACTCAGTTTATTTCAGAGGAGACACTACAAATCAGCTAGGTCCTGTTGTCAATAACAACTTTGATTTTCAAAGTAGTATCCAACAGGGATTTATTTACTATGAGACTCCTGCGTTAAGTCAGATCGTACCTTCGCTTCAATTGACGACTCTCTCCTCCCACACGGCTGTGGTAAACTTAAAAGATTCTGGAGTAGGATCAGCTCAGAGAAGTTTTGCTTGTGACACAGATTCTGATTGAGATGTGAAATACTCTGTTAAGCACACTCCCCAAATTTTAAGGATCTACCCATCGACCATCTACTCTGGACAAGACATTTGCTTTGAAGTGTTTACAGATGAAGTTACTAACAACAACAGAGATGGAGTTAATAAACTTATGATTGGATCCTACCATGCTGACATTGCTACTTATGACGAAGATAACTCTGATAGAGAGAACAACTATTATAACTCCCACCAATGTGCAATTGCTCCTGGTGCAAAAGCCATGTCAAGCTATGATGCATATCTTTATGGAGACACCGGGCTTTACCACGTGTCTGACTTTGCTAAATCCTTCGATGGGACATCTGAGTACACCATTAGATCCGTTCCAAAAGTAGAATCAGTGTACCCAAGCACTCTAAATACTGTGGATGGGTCAATCATAAGCATTGCAGGAGAAGGATTTTCATCAACCACCTCTGAAAACACTATTGATGTCCAAGGAAATTCCTGCCAGATTCTTGAAGCTTCTGAAACTGAAATTAAATGTCAAATAACCGTTACACAAAGCGATTACTCTGGAACTTCTGACTTTGCAGGAGGTATCGGAGCACATGTAGTTGAGTACGATGGAATCGTAAGCTCTGGTATCAGCAGTACCACTATTACCCCAGTTTCTAAACATTTTACAGATATGGTCTCTCGGACTAATACCAATGATAGTGGAAATAGACTTACTAGATCTATTGAAGCATGGTTTGTGCCACCTCAAGATGGATCTTATATTTTCCATGGATCTTGTGACGACTCATGCTCTGTTGAGCTCTCAACAACTCCTGACGACAAGTCAACTGCTGCTGCTTTGCTCACATCACAGAATATTGGATTTTCTAACTTCTGGAAGACCTCAACAAGTCATAAATCAGATGCTAAAAGTTTGACAGGAGGAAAGAAATACTATATGAAAGTCACATTCGATGATTATGGAAGTTCAGACTTCATGCAGATTGGATTTAGCATTGAAGACGACTCTACACAAGTTGCTAACTCAAACAGAGGTTGGAACAGAGCTTACATTGATGCGAAGCATACTTTTGAGTCATTTGAATTAGATATTCCTGAAAATCCTAATGTCAGTTACAAATTAAGATTTGGTAGTCAAAGTACCAACGACTGTACTGGTATCAGCAGCCATGCTGATATTTTCTCATCATGCACCACAGAATTATGCCCTTGTGTCTCTACCGCTTTTAGTCACACCTCCTCAGAAGCTAATTTCAGATCTGCTATTGACGATTTCTTCAACAAATTCCATTCTTACTATGGAACAAATGTCCAAGTAACCAAAACTTCTTATGATAATTCAGGCACCACTTGGTATAAGTTCAAGGCTACATTCACTTACGCTTTAAACGCTGCTAGTTTTGATGAAGTCTTCTTATACCAGAAAAATACGTCTGATAGTACAACCAAAACCCTCACTCTTGACACTGATTATAAGTTCACTTATATAGCTGCTAGTCTGCTGACTCAACCTCTTCAAGGAAATTTTAGAATCAAAGTTACCAATGGATCCACACCTCTTGCTGAAACTGATGATATTAACCCTCATGAATCAAAAGGGCAAGTCTTAAGGAAAATCTATGAGAAACTTCCAATACTGATGGGAAAACTAGAAATCAGAGATTCTTACAGCACTTACTATTCTGGAGATGAAGGAAGAGAGCTGTTTTGGAGATTCACTCAAGATTTTAAAGATTTCACCCTTGAAATTATTGATTCAGCAACTACACCTTTGAATATTCCAAACTTCTCATCTAATGTGATTGATATCGCAAATCCAAGCGATTATATGCCTGCTTCTAAAAAACCTTTTTATGAAGTAATCCCAGGAGCTTTTTTGAGAACTGTGGAGACCACTCCACAAGTCACTGTCTCAACCAATGGAATCACAGGTGCTTGCCCAACAAAAGGAGCATGCGGATTTACTTTCAGTTCTGTTTCTGGCTCCATTAGCGCTTATGAGTTCTTCTCAAGTTTCCCTGAAATAAAAGTTACAGGAACTTCTATACCAACAAGCACTGTTGAGTATGTCAGTTTTGGAAACTGTATCTGTGATTTACACCCAAGTTATACAGTAAAAGCTGATGAAATCCACTGCATAATGAGAGACTGCCCATCAGGAGACTACAAAGCCTACGTTCAGACATCAGGAGGTGCTCTAACTAACTCTGGAAGCAATGATTTTACTATCCCAATGGTGATGAGCAACGTTATCCCAACTGAGCTTTACTCCAGTGGAGGTCAAACTGTTACAATTACAGGAACTAACTTCCCATCAAGCTTGACCCATGCAAATTCTTTTAGTGATTTCGCTGTTGAATTCAGTGATGGCAAAGAATGTGTAGTTACTAGTGTCACAACAACTCAGATTCTCTGCACAGCTCCAGCTGGCCTAACTGGTTCTACAATTGATTTGACTTTAAAATTTAACTCGAAGAGTGAAACTAAGACTGGAATCACTGTTTCTACTCCAGCTAATAATGTTGAAAGTATTGATAAACCTAGTGTTTCTCCAGTAGAGAAACAAGACTTAGTAATCACTGCTGATAATAGACCAAGTACAACTCTCACTGAGTACCATGGTCTTCTTGTGTCACCTACAAAGACAATTAAAATGAAGGTTAATGCTATTGTTCCAGATGGAGCTAAGTATAAATACACTGTCAGATTCCCAGGAGCTCCTAAAGGAGATACTTATGACGTATACCTTGTGCATAACGACCAGAGATTTGGAAGTACCACAACTCTCAGCACTGTCTCCACTATTTCAGCTCTTTCCATTCAGGGAGGATCCAATAATGATGTTAGCACTCATGGAGGAAATATTGTTGTATTGACTGGAACTGCATTATCTACAGATATTACAGATCTTGAAATCGTGTTTGGGGGAACAACTAAAGGAACTATAGTATCTTCAACTGGAACTGAAGTAAAAGCAAGAGTTCCTGCAAATTCTGGAGAAGGCGAAGCTGTAGTTACTTTCTTCCAAAAGCCTAACATTGAAACAACATGTAGCGCTGCAGGAGGGTGTAAGGTAAATTACAAAGCTGATACGCAAACTCTTACTACAAGTGCTACAAATGTTGCAGTTCCAGATGGAGTGATAACTCTTCAAGGGACAAACTTTGGAGCTAATGCTAAAGGATTCATCGATGATAATGAGCAGACGACTCTTGTGTCAACGGCTACCGAAGTTCAAGTCCGTTTGACCAAAATCCCAGATCCTGCTGATGTTAATCTTGAGATAAGAACAGACACTGCCAATCTTCCACCTTTCACCGTTGCTACACCTATAACTCAAAAATTGATATCTATCAGTCCCAATACTGGTTCAACAGGAGGCCAAAAGGTTACTCTTACTACTGTAGGTATTGGTATTACCACTACAACAAATGTTGCCATAATTGATTCAAGCAGTAACTCTCTATGTGAAGACGGCACTATCACATTTGTTGATAGTTCAACTATCACTTGCGTAACTAAGGGTTCTCATGATTTCACTTCTGGTGTTGAATTCAGAGTCTCATTTACAAACACAGATTCCACAACTGGAAGAAATACCGTGGTCACCTTGGCTTGTGCTACTTCTACAGATTGTAAATTTACCTCACAAACATCAAGTACTCCATCTGTAACTACTGCTACAAACTCAGGAAATGATCTTACTGTTGATGTCAGCGGATACACTTTTGACAGCACTCACACTGTGACTATTTTCTACGGAATGGCTTCATCTGAAGCAAGCTCTATCTCTGGAACCACTGCTACTGCAACCTTTGCTAATGGATTTACTCCTGGAACTCATCCTGTCAAGGTTAAGTTTGAGAAAGATGGAAATGTAGTCTACACTAGCTCTCTTGACAAGACTCTTAATTCTGGATCAGTCACTGGACCAAGCGCTGATGTTTCATGCTCATTTGTTGGAGGATGCTCCATCGAAATCACTGGAGCAGGACTCAAGGCAGGAGCAGCTGGAGGAGATGTTAAGGTCACTGTCTGTGATAGACCAGCTACATTTGACTTGCTAGCTTCAGATGGAACTAAAATAGTTGCACTTGCTCCAAACTATGTGAACTCCCATTCACAATCAACTTTCTCTATTTTAGAAACAGAAGTAGTTACTGGAACTTTGATTAGCAATTCACCTACAGGATTATTAGCTTTTGATGGAGTAACCACTAATAAAGTCACAGGAAGTGGAGCTGTTGGAGTTGGATACAACTTTGGAACAGGAAATATTGCTCAACTCACTTCAGTAAGGTACTTCATGGGACAAATGATTGACAAACAGACCAATTGTGTTGGCAAAGTTAAGTTCCAGTCATCGACTGATGGAACTACCTGGAGTACTGATGTATTCACTGGAGATAGACTTATGAGGAAAGGATGGAACACCAAGACTTTCAGTCCTCCTGTTTCTTCTCAATACTTCAGGCTATATGTTGAAGATATTGTCAAATGTCCAATTGTGGAGGTTGAAATGCTTGGAAATATTTTTGTTGCTGATTCTGTAACTTCAAAGACATGTGATGTACATGTTGCAATTGGATCAGCTTCTCCAACTCTTCTGGCAAACAAAGTTACTTACCAAGATAGTGCTACAACTAAAGTAACATCTATTTCTCCAAGATATGGAACATTCAAAGGTGGGGATACTGTAACTATTACTGGTACTGGGTTCAATGCAGCTAAAGAACAAGCCTCAGTACTTATTGACGGAGTTGCTTGCACAGTTAGTGCTGTTACCTCTACAACAGTTACTTGTACTACTCAAGCTAGACCATCTATTGTATCAAATCCAACAACCGTACTATCTTTCTCATCCTCATCAGGATCAAATGGACTTGCATCAATGCAAGAAAACACCTTCACATATGCTAATAACTGGAGTGACCCAGATACTTGGGGTGGAGAATATGCCCCACAAGATGGCGAATCTATTGTTATCCCACAAGGACAAATGCTTATTGTTGATATTAAAGAGTCTCCAATGATTAATGCCATAATCGTTCAAGGATCTCTTGTATTTATTCCAGACTCAGACCCAACTCATCACAGAACCTTCGATGCAAATTACATCTTCGTACACACTGGTGCTACCTTCGAAGCAGGAACTCCTACCAATAGGTATACTTCCAAGCTCACCATCACAATGCATGGTAAGAGAGAAGATACTCAAATTCCTACCTACGGAAACAAAGGAATCTTTGTAAGACACGCCCAATTCGATATGCATGGTATTGAAAAGAACAAAACTTGGTCCCAACTGGATTCCACTCTCGCTATTGGCGGAAAACAAATCACTCTTATTGATTATGTAGACTGGAATGCTGGTGATAGCATTGTGATTGCATCTACTGATTTTGATCTTGAACATACTGAAGAGTTTACTATTAAGACAATTGATAATAGCGGTCCAACTGGATCAATTATTGAACTAAACACCCTTGCTAAGCACAAGCATTTTGCTAAGTCTAAAGATTATACTGTTTCTAACGGAGTCAATGCTGATATGACGAAGACTTTAACTATGAGAGCTGAAGTTGGTCTCTTGACCAGAAATGTTGTTTACAAGGGAGCTGATGATGACTCTGTTGATAACCAATATGGTGCTCATATTATGCTTCACTCTCCAGGAGATGAGAGTTTGACTGGAAGAATCTCTTATGTTGAATTAACTCAAGTTGGACAAGCTTTCCAACTTGGTAGATATCCAATCCATTTCCATATGATTGGAACTGTTCATGGATCTTACATTAAAGGAAATGCTATTCATCACACCTACAACAGAGCTTGCACTATTCATGGTGTTCACTACTTGACATTAGAAGACAACTTTGCTTACCAAACAATGGGTCATACATTCTTTATTGAAGATGCTGCTGAAACCAACAATTATCTTAGAAGAAACTTAGTTATGAAGAGTATGAGATCTTGGTCATTGCTGAACACTGATCAGACTCCGGCTTCCTTCTGGATCACTCATCCAAACAACTACTTTATTGACAACCACGCTGCTGGCTCAGCTAAATATGGATTCTGGTTTGACCTTCAGACTCATTCAACTGGACCTTCCTTTGATGCGGATATTTGTCCAGAGTACGAACAACTTGGAGAGTTCACTGGAAATGTTGCTCACTCTAATGGTAAATATGGACTCAGAATATTCCACAGATATACTCCTGTTGAGGATCCTTGTGCAGGATTAGCAAATCAGCCTGATAGAGATCAACCAATGGGAGATGGAACAACTCCTGTTATCACTAGATTCAGAGATTTCACTACTTATAAGAATAATAGAACTGGATTAATTGCTGAAGAATTTGGAGCACTCAAATTCCATAATATTGTTACTGCTGATAACCTCTTTGCAGGAATTGAATTTGGAATTACGGCTGCTGGACCATGGATTTCTGATTCTGATGAGTATCAACTCCAAGATGCTCTTATTGTCGGAGCTTCTGAGAATGCTGAACCCCATTTACAAAGCGATGTTCTCGGAAAATTACATGATATTGGTCATGATGCCAACGAAGCATTTGGAGGAACAAGAGGAATTAAAGGAGCTAGAACTGAGAAGATGAGAATTAAAGATGTAATATTTGCAGACTTCGATCATACTTACTCTGACTTAACTCCCATCGGAACATGCTCTCATTGTGAAGGACCAGGAACAGACTCTTCTGGAAGAACTTACTATTTCAAGAATCTTTTCTTTACAAACAATACTAGAAGAGTGAAGTTTGATACTCCTTTCAAAGAAATACTATACGATGAGGATGGCACTCTTGGTAACTCAACTCACAGATGGGTAGTACACTACTTTAAGCACTTAGATGTTCCTGAATGTGAGAGAAACGAAGACCTTTACAATGGACTTTTATGTCATCAATCTATTAGTGTCAGAAGAATTGCTTTATATAATGGGGTCAAGTATGATGCCCTAAAATACAGACCTCTCAAAGTTCTTAATCTTAAAAACATTGCAAGTGGCAGAAGGATGCTTAACGGATGCGCTAATGCCAATCAGACTTCAACCTTTGCAACTATCAAGACTAATGACGATGTTTCAATGCAAAATCAGCTTGAACTTCTTGCTGCATTCCATGATAGGCAAACTAACAAGACAGCTTACGATCAAGAAGTTAAAAATTATGAGGATGGAGTCACTGGTGCAACTCAAGCAAATATAGATACATACTATAACAATATGCAGACTGCTCAGACAATAATCACCAGACTTGAGCCTCTTGTAAATGCTGAGAAGGGAAAATATGATGACCTCTGGAAAAATGATAATGCTTTTTGTAACCTCGATCAATATCAAGATATTGAATTCAGATTCAAAGCAAATCCTGCCAAAAACTGGGTCGTACCACTCATCACTGGATATGAATATAAATTCCAATTTGATATTGGCCAAGACTTTGAAGGATTTACAAGTGAGTATAGTTATCCAGAGCTTCTTCAAGGAGAAGATAGAGGTATTCTTGTACATTGGAACCATACAGAGAGAAGAGAAGCTTTAAACTTAACTTATACTCATGCAAATGGAACTGCTAACACCCTAATGCCTACTCAAACGTCTCATCTAAGTTTGACATCTACAAACAAGATGGGGGATGTATACTTTAACAACGTGACCAGGCATATTCAAATAAAACTTGATGGTCAAAGAAATGATACTCAGACATTCAAAGTTGAGGCTGATGAGTGTATCTCATGGGGCAACTGCAACCCTGACACGACAGAAGATGCTGAGATTGAAAAAGATTACAGAAGATGGAGCAAGCCTGAATCATGGACTTCTGGAAAGCTTCCCGTTGAAGGAGAAGAAGTCCTAATTGAGCCAACCTGGAACATGCTCTACGATCTTGAAGATTCTCCTATATTCAAGAGCATTGAGATTAATGGAAGACTAACTATTGAGAATAATGGAACAGACAGAGTGCTCCGATCCTTCCTCATTTTCAATAGAAAAGGAGACCTTGTTGTTGGAACTAAGGATAAGCCATTTGAAGCTGAAATGACTTTCGAGCTACACGGAACAAGAGCTGACAAAGATGTATACTTTCATACTAAGATGTTCGAAGGAGGAAATAAAGTCATTGCTAACACTGGTAACCTAACAATGTATGGAAAAACTGTTGATGTAAAAAATACAAGACTTATTGAACCAGCTGCTAAAGGAGCAACCACTATCAAAATAGCTGACACTCCATCTGACTGGAAAACCGGAGATAAACTTGGCATTGCTCCAAGTGGAAGAGACTGGGAACAAAGAGATGCGGTTACTATTGCCTCTATCAGCGGAAGCACTATTACCCTCAACGAAGCTTTGAACTTTGAACATTATGGAGCTGCCTCTGTTGATGCTAGTGTCTCTGGAACTATTGACATCAGAGCTGAAGTTGTACATCTATCCAGGAATATTAAGGTTGTTGGAACAAACACTGACAGATGGGGAGCCCACATTGTCACTGCTCACAACCAAGACTCTCAGTTCTTGAATGGAAAGCTTAGCACTGTTACAAGAAGAGGATGGGCAATTATTGACCATGTTGAGTTCTTTAATTGTTCTCAATATGATACAGATAAAGCTGCTGTAAGGTTTGCTGACATCAGTGGTCTCGGAACTGACGATATCAGATCAAAGGTTACTAACTCTGCTATTCATGACGGTCTTGGTATTGGAATTATGGTCACATCTGCAGAAGATGTTATTGTAGACTCAAATGTTGTCTGGTTCCAGCATATTGGAGGTATTTGGATGAAGAAATCTGATAATACTACAATTACGAATAATATTGTTGCAGGAATGGGAACTAGATACTGGTCTGGTGAGACAAGGTTAGATGAAATTGCAGCATTTAACATTTGTAATAAGGATCAGAACTGAAAAGACCTTACTTTAACAGGAAATATAGCTGCTGGAGGCCAAAGAGTTGGATTTGCAGTTCCTACTTCATGTGACACAGCTCTTTCTTCATACTCCAATAACTTAGCTCATTCAGTAGAGCACGGAGCCTGGCTTTTCAGTAATACTCTCTGTTCTGGAACTCACTACTTTGGAAACTTTAAAGCATATAAGACAAGAGAGCAAGGAGTCATGGCCTATCAGAGTTATGGAACTTTAGAAGTTAAGAATGTGGAAACACTTGATTGTGGAATGGGGCTTACACTTATGACTAGTGGAGGAAGAGAGAATAACTTTATAACTTTGAGAGATTCTGTAATAATGGGAGAAAGTACAGCCTTACCAGTAGATCCATCCGAATACTGAGTAGATATTCATGGAGTTTGGGTATCAACTGCTACCAATGGAGGAAAAGAATTCCCAGCATCCAAGTTATCAAAGCTTCCTTACTACAAAATTATGACTTATGCTGCATGGTATACAGAAGGCCATCATCACAATGTTACTTTCAAGAACTGGGTATCTGGAACAAGACAGAACTGTGCTTCATCTACTACAACAAAACAAAGAGCTATCTTTTTGAACCCAACAGGTGCTGATCATGCTCCTGTGGATAGATATGTTGACACCAAATTTATTAATGTTGTTAATGATGCTATTGCATACCTCTCAGATCCAGACCCAGGATGGGCTATACTAAAAGATTGTGGAAACTTCCCATGTACTGGACCAGACAACGTTATTATTAAATTTGAAGGAACTACTTTCTCTGGAACTAATCAGCCTACTAGAAATGATGCCACTTTCCAGATTCTGCCAAATAATGAAGGAGTCTCTGATCAAATTGCCAACTGCACAGCAGAAGCTGGATGGAATGGATACTATTGCTTAAATCCTGATGTTGCCCAACTTGTATTTGAATCTTTGGATTCAGATAAAGAAGATAGAACATTCTCACCAATTCACTATTTCGGTATTGATAGATCCAATGAAAATAGGAATTCTTTCAACAATACTATGAACTCTTTTATGGATCACTGTTGGGATGATCACTATACTTGCCAGAAAAGACTTTCCAGATTCCCAGGAATTATTCAAACTGATAGTAAATATGAAATCTACTTCACAGGAACTACTCCTGCAGTCTCCAGATATGTTCTAGAAGGAGCTGATGACACTAATTATGTAATTCTCAAGATTGACTTCTCGCAATCAGTCCTGTATCATGTCAGTGTAGCTTTAAATGGTGGAGCTGAAACTGAAATCAAAGCTAATGCATTTAATAAAACTCTTGGATCTCCTGCACCAATTAATATCAGTACATGTGGCCACAACAGATATGAGCAACAAGATTACATCTATGAGTTCGCCCTGAGAAGAAACTGTACAGTTTATCTCAGAGCACAAGAACATCTTGTTGGTCTTGTTAGGCTTCAGATGTCCCTAGAACAGTTCTTTGAAGATGACTTCGTTAACAAGCTGTCTTATGCTCTCGGTATCACTACAGACCAGATCAGAATAGTTGGTGTCAAAGAAGGATCCACAGTAGTCTCCTACCAAATCACAAGCACAGAAGTTGATACTGCTAGTCAAAGAAAGAACCTTGTCTTCATGGCTGAGACCCTGGCAGCTCAATATGCAGCTGGAACTCTCGATCTTGGTGCTGAGATCCTGGATCTGATCAACCAAATAATATCTTCCAATGGTGAAGTAGTCACGACTGGTACGTACTCGTACAAAAAGAAAGAGATTCATCCAATCGTGTACGTCTTGCTATCCCTATCAGCCATTGCTCTGATTATCTACGGAATCACCCAATTGGTCAAGATGTTCAGGATGAACAAGGTGTACAATGAAGTCATCCACGAAGACTCTTCAGAGCTGTCCAAGATGGATAAACCAATTCCAGGAAATTTTAGAGACTCTAAAATGGGCAAGCTTGAAAAGACTAAGAAGGATTAATCCATAAAATTTCAATACAAATTCCATCTCCTGGGGTTTTGGGGTTTTGGGGTTTTGGGGTTTTGGGG